TATCAAGGCATGCAACTACTTCAAGATCAAGCTGCACCGAGTCCCTTGCCCGGAGCCCGAGTTCAAGGTCGACGTGCATGCTGTTCGCCGTTTAATCAATCCCAATACCGTCCTTCTTGTCGGATCGGCACCTAACTTCCCCCACGGCATTGTCGATGATATCCCAGCTCTTTCGCAACTGGCTACCAAGTACAAGATCCCTCTCCACGTTGACTGCTGCTTGGGATCTTTCGTCGTTGCATACCTCAAGAAGGCCGGATTCCCCTCGCCCTACGAGGAAGAAGGTGGCTTTGACTTCCGCCAACCAGGCGTGACTAGCATCAGTGTTGACACCCACAAGTACGGGTTCGCGCCCAAGGGCAACTCGGTCTTGATCTACCGCAACAAATCATACCGAAACAACCAGTACTTCATCTACCCCGATTGGTCCGGCGGTGTTTATGCTTCTCCCTCCGTGGCGGGCTCCCGCCCTGGCGCTCTGATCGCCGGTTGTTGGGCCAGTCTGATGAGCGTCGGCGAAAACGGATACATCAACAGCTGCACCGATATCATCAACGCGGCACGGAAGTTCGAGACAGCCGTTCGGACCGATCCAACCATCTCACTGCACATGGAGATCCTCGGTGACCCCATCGTCAGTGTGGTCGCATTCCGCAGCAAGAATGGTGCCATTGACATTTACGACATCGCCGATGATCTGTCTGCTAAAGGCTGGCACCTCAACGCTCTGCAATCTCCCCCGGCTATTCACTGTGCTTTCACTATTCCAACTGCCAAGGCTGTCGACCAGCTCATTGCTGATCTGCGTGAAGTCATCGGCAAGGAACTTGAGAAAGCCGAGCAGCGCAAGCGCGAGGGCAAATCATATATCCTCCAGCGTGGCGATACCTCTGCTCTATACGGTGTCGCTGGCAGCATTCCCGACAAGAGTATCGTCAGCCGTCTGGCAGAAGGCTTCTTGGACACCCTGTACAAAGCCTAAGTGAACAACTCGGTTTTCCTTGTTCGTATCTTCTTCGCTCAGCCTATCCGCACTGTTCCTAGTGTATAATCTTGGTGCCCCCTAGCTGTCCTTACCTAAACTACTGGTGCAGTGGCGTTATTATTATCCAGGTCCTTTGAAATTGCACATATTTATTTCAAGTGTTAGATTCCACTATGCATATAATACAATAATCTCCTCGTAGTAGATTAACTTACGAAGTGTAAATGTTTTAGGCGGTCGGATACCTAGCAGATATAACATTCGCCCGATAGATGTGGACGTAGTATACATGAACAAAAGAAACGAACAAAAAAGCAACCCGCTCCATGCAAGCAAAGCCAAAACAGCAAAAAAAGAGGACGTGATCGATCAATCATGCGCCAGAGCGAAAGGGATTTCAAAAGAGTCGGATCTTGCATCGCAATCTTCAAGACCGGTGAAAACCGCAGTCTGAAAAGCAGCCCATTCCACACGAAGCTCAATGAAAACAATCACTGACCACCGAGCTCCTTCCGCTGCTCAGAGCAGCTCTTTTCGGTATAATATCCAGGATCAGGCTTGCGCTCGAGATGCACCTCCTGCTTCGTGAGGCGGTACTGGCATTCCTCGACATGGACAAGTTCCTTGACTTTCATGATTTGACCCGCGACGGAGGGCGAGACGCTGTGGAAGACCGTTGCCATACGCTTTTTCAAGCCAAGCGCCTTGAGGACATCTGTTGAGCGGCGCGGGAGTCCAATTGCGGAGCGCATAAGGGTGATACGGAAGTAGGACATGTTGGATTGTGGAGATCAAGAGGATCTGATATTCGGATGTTTGTGCTTTCGATAGGTTGGTTTGGTTGTCCGGAGTCGTGGAATCAGATTCGGAATAGGTGGAACGGAACGAAGTGGATCTAGTATGATACCGGAGTCTTGATTTGAGAATTTGCAGCCGATATCTGCTGCGCAATTGACCCTGTGACCTGGCGAAGAAATGTTGCCGACATGGAGATGGCCGCGATCCCGCAAATCCAATTCTAAGGCGGTAGGTCACGTGGGTATTCTGCCAGAACCCGATGACAGCAGCGACGACTATCGGCCTGTGATAGCTGATATAGTATTTCATATTTTGAAACGAGAGACTATGGGCTGCGCTCTTTCCGGCGTGATAGTACCTGGATTTATATCATAGTGCACTGCTGCGTACTACCTTCTCGCAAGCAAAGCCCCATGCCCGCATTGTTGACACCTCACCCCTCGACCTAGCTTCGAGCAACCCGGAACAACGACACCACCATATACTTGATACCGAGGCCATGACGCAAGCCAGTAACATTGATGCCACGGTCGCTCTGCCGCGACTCGAAGACCTCCTACGGCACCCGGAGGATCTAGACAAGATCAGCGGGCTTAAAGCGGAATACCTGCGGAAGAAGACGGCAGTTGATTCCCGGTTGCGTGAAGGTCTGCGAGACCAGCTGGAGGCCGTACAACGTAGCATTGGTGCTTTGACTGAGGGCCAGCGACAAGTCTCGAAGACAAAAGACGAGCTACAAGGCATCGACAAGCTATGCGCCGAGTCGCAGCATAGCGTGGAGGACTTTGCGCAGATTGACCAACTTGCGCGGATTCAAAGACATTTCGATGCTACGCTCATGATGAAACGAGGACTGGAGAATTTCGGCGCGGATATCCAGGAAGTGGAGGATTTGCTCAGAGAGGATGATGACGATATGGAGAATCAGCCTAATATTCTGCGGGCTCATATGCAGATATCACGGTTAAGGGATTTCCGTGATGAGGCTATGGATCAGATTCGCAAGGCGGAGGATCAGAGCTCCGAAGAGACTCTGACAGAGTACTTTGAGGGGTTGGATTCTGTTATTGAGTGGTTCGATGATCACCTTGGCACGGCTTGCATGAACCTCATTCCATTGGTGCAGGCAGACAACAAGAGTATGGTCGTGCGACTTGCTGTTGTTGTCTTGAACGAGGAGAAAAATGATGATACAGTTCGAGCGTTGCAAGAGGCCCAGAAAGACCACAAGGACCTTGCAAGTCGTTTCAAGTCCATGAACATTGGCCCCAAGACTGTGCGGGGCTACAAGGACAAATTCATCCAGGCTATCGAGCTTTACGCCCAAAGCCAATTCGAAGAGACCCTCGAAAACTTTCTTGGAGACCCAGACAATCTGGAAAAGAAGTTCCGGTGGTACTTCAATGATCTATTCACGGTCAAGCAAGGCATGCAGAGCCTTGTACCGAAGAAATGGAAGATATTCAAAACATACACCGATATCTATCATCGGATGATGCATGACTTCTTGCTTAGCATGATCGACGACCCCGAGCTCCCGGCTGATAATTTACTCAGTATCATTCACTGGAGTGACAAGTACTACAAGAAAATGAAGAAGCTGGGCTGGACACCAACAGATCTCCAAGCCAACATTCTCGACGACCGCGAGCCAGAACTAGTCCGAAAGTGGCAGGCCGTCATCATCAATGCCGTCGAAGAATGGATGGACCGCATTTTCAACGCGGACAAAAAGTCTCTGGTAGAGCGTGTCTCAGATGCCCTAGACAACAACGCAGAAGGTCACTTTCGCACCAAGACACTGGCCGACATGTGGCGCATGCTCCACGAACAAGTTATGGCATCAGGAGCATCAGACCGCGCAGACCTGGTAGAGGGTATCATTGATGCCATTTTCCGAGCCTTGAAGGCCCGACAAATTGCATGGCAGGCACTCGTGGACGAGGAATGTGCGAAGCACCAAGTAGAAGGCGCAGACCAAGAAGGCGTGCAGCTGTTGCAAGACTGGCTGATCGGAATAGCCAACGATCAAATCTCCTGCATCGACGACAACGAGGAGGACAACCAGTTCGGCTACCTGACGCGGTTCAAGTCCGATTTCGAGCCCATGGTCACACCCAAGTACATGGGCACCACAGCAACCATCGAGCTGGATGCACTGCGCGATGGCTATGTTGATCTGAGCACGCACTGCCTGGCGCAGTTCGTGAGCCTGATCTTCTGGGTCGATCTGGACACTGTCCTGCCAGACTTCTTCACGTCCCGCTGGTACGGCGAATTTGCCATGAAGCGTATCACTTCCACCTTCGAAGACTACATGGCGGACTACGCCTCCGTGCTGCACCCATCTTTGGCCGAGATCCTGGTCGAGGAACTCTCGGACGAGCTGCTGGTGCGCTACCTCTCTGCGGTGCGAAACAAGGGTGTTAAATTCCGCCGCCATATCGACCCTTTCACAGACAAGTTCAAGGACGACGTTCTCACTGTATTCGCGTTCTTTGAAAACTACCCCGACTCATTTGAGGGTACTATCAAGCAGAAGTGGCGGCTGGTTGATTGGCTTGTTCGCCTCCTTGCCACTGAAAAGGGCCCCGCGCTCGTGGAGGTTTATGAAGCATTCAAGCTTGAGTACTGGGACCTGCAGCTTTCATGGGTTGAGGCTGTGCTGCGTACCCGTGATGATTTCGAGCGCAGCATGCTCACTGCCATCAAGGCTAAAGCCGCGGAGTTGTCTGTTGAACGGGGACAGGAGACCATCATGAGTCGGTTGAGATGATTTGTTCGTACTTGACCGTGTAGATTTTCAACTGCACTCATATTCTCGTTTCATCCCAGCCCGATATGCAATTCACCGCGCTCGGCTGAGTAGGGTTGTTGTACTAGCTGTCTGGCTTTCAATGTCCCGTCGGATCTTTGCAGACTGCCCCAAGAAGATGTCATAGAGCCTCTCCCCGTTGCTTAGCCGACGTCGAGCTGCACTCGGACCAGCTCACTTTATGATGAGCAACCCCAACCACATGTACTATCTGCAACCCAAGCAGGCTTGGGATCTATCTAGTCTACTCATTAATATTACTAGCGATACAGAAGGAAAACAAATAGCTTAAACAATTTGGTTTTTTTACTTTCCACATAGAGGTCTAAGACAAGATTTCTATTGACAAGGATGATTCCCAATTGATAATGTTTAAGGATGTTATGTGGGTGGCGATGACAGTCATAAATTCAGATTCCGTTCTGCAACGACCGTATATTTCTCGCCGAGGCGTTCATTCAGACCATCGCCGTCGTTGACACCAGGATGTAATTTCCTAGCGCCCATTTCACAGATGCAGATGGTATCCAGAGGAATTTCCTTTGCCCAAATGAAAGGAGAGCCCCGCGACGGTGGGGGAGAAGTGGCCGAATGGCTTTTATGCTCGGAGGAAACAATGTTTCTGTCGGGGATCGGTGAAGATTTCGTACGATAGGGGTCACTTTTGTCTTCGGAAGATCCAGTACGTGCTGGTTGTGGGATATTTGGATTGTCATCAGGGTAGTAATTACGATATTGTGAGATCAGGTTGCGGGCATCAAATGTAAGGCGTTTGGGTGGACGGTTTCCTTTCGCACCCTTGTTCTGACCCTGCCGGCCGCGGACATAAATGGTATTGACAAGAGTCGCGTGCAGAAGAAGTGGTCGCTGTTTCGGTTTTCGTGTTATTACATTTATGAATGGGTTCCGGCTTTCGCACACGTCTGCGGGACCAGAGGAAGTTTGGCTTTCTGGCTGGCGTAAAGATACGTCACTAGAGAAGGTAGCTGACCCAGAGGCCTGAGGGCTGTCTTGGACGGAGCGATTGGTGGGGTTATGTCTTCCTGCCGATCTTCTGTCGGGCTCACTTTGGATGAAGCCAGCCTCGATGAATTTGTCACGTAGCTTTACGCAAAATGGAAGCAAACGGCCTGTATGATCTACTGGAGAAGCATGCAATACGGTTGCTGATTTTCCTTGAGGCAAAGCATGTAATGACTCGAGGGAAACCGTCAAGGGCGATGATTGGTGAAGGGCGTCTTTATGTTGTGAGTGAGCGGCGGCTCGCGTCACTTCGCTCATTAGGTCTGCCAGGTCGAGGGATTTGAAAAAAGCAAGAGCTTGATCAAGTCTCTCTTTATTGGCGAGACTCATCACACCAAGAGTAAGGTGAAGTGTGCCCAGTGGACGAAAAGCTGTCCTTGGAAGACTCAGGCGCGATGTATCCCTTTGGCCCTTGGGGGACGATTGAGAAGCTGGCCCAGATTCATCGACATGGGCTGTTATGAAGGCCCCGAGCGATGATTCCAGCTGCAGCAGCGACTTGGTGTTTACCAGAGGGAGACACAGGAAATGTGTCAATTGCGGCCGCTTTTGCCGCTCTTCTGGACGTGGTTTGCGAGGCTGATGTCTTGATAAACCCGCGGTCTCCGTCATGATGCCCCTGTATCTCCACGGATGTGTTATCAGCATGAGAACAAATGTTCGCTCGATTCAGTCGCCAAAATGGTCTCTGGATAAGTCGGAAGTCCCGAGATCGGAAGTCAGGTTGGGACGTCGGGATGCGCACGGACCAGGACCCACAACCTTGTGTCAACTACGTGAGAATTTATATCTCTCTTGGCCATCGCTGAGATACACCACACTAGGGAGAATATTCAATGCTTCAGCATCAAACCCACGTGAAATTTCCTCTTAGCAAGTACGTATTCTCAATATTTGATCAAAAACAACGGCAATTGATGGCTGGTCATGCTCTGCAATTCTTATTTTTGATCAAAAATGATTTTCGGTGGTGATGAAAGAGGAGCGAAGAAAGGGAATTTTGATATCAAATGGATGAGATGTCTCATATTCTTCAGTATTTGCCCTTGGTAACATCACAAGTGCACCCTTAAGGCCTCGTTTGAGACAAAGAGGCTTGAACTTTGCATCTTGACATTTGTCTTTCGTGGGGTTTGCCTTTGAAGCGTTTCTAAGGTCAATCCGTTGGGGATCAGCTAATCCTAGATACTGGTTGGCTTACCTTATTTGCATAGTGCCATCATTCGTAGGCTCTAGTCGAAACTGTGATGCTAATAAAGGCAAAGTAGTGCTGAACGACGGCTAAATCCATTGTTTCAGCAGTCAGAAAGTAACAGAAAGGAAAATAGAGAGAAATGAGAAGGAGGATGAACAGCACTATAGCCCTAAGCTGGTAGAAACCCATGGGTACTATTCCAGTTGATGACGCCTATCAACGTAAAAGAGACCGAAGTCAATTTCATTTTCCATTTCACTCACCATTTCGCTATATTCCAATATGCACAATCATACACGCCCACTCACAAAGATGAGATCCATATTCCAACGACATCGACGAACCACCCATCAACAGAAGACCCAGCAGAAACCCCCACTAGTCGACAATTTCCAAAGGATTCCACCAGAAATAGTGGAAATCCTCTTTACATTCCTCTGGGTCACGGACCAAGTTTGCCTCGCGATAACTTGCAGATATCTCTTGACGTGTTACCAGTCATTTCTTCGAGTGCGTAAAACAGGGGTTACTGAGCTCCTATGGCGTGAACCAGTTTCGGAATTACGTTTGGTTCGTCAACTGCAGAATGCTCGTTGGCAATACTGCTGGTGGTGTTATAAGCTCCATCCATTCTCTCGACGGAGAGCCTTTCTATATATGTGGGGATATAGAATAAAGTGTTGTCCTGTTCGTGAGCTAGTCGGTTATACGATACCTGATATTTGACGGGAATGCAATCTGCTGGAGTGCCTATTTCATTGGTCTAACTATCACGTTGGTCTTCTTTCTTCTTACTCCACGGTACCATGCTTTTCGCTGAGGATGTTCACAGGTGGGAAAGGGGCATTAATTGGTGTTGATCTGATAATGTTGTCGGGATAAGGAGAGAAAATAAAGACTGGAGTTATGAAAACAGCAATCCAATGCCCAGATACCTAGGTAAATATGAAGTTGACTGAAATAAGACGAATGAAGGCAGCGAGCATCTCCTGAAAGTGAAATCATTTATCCCTATGGCTGAGAGCGTGTGCGAGATCACCCATAGCGGCTCTATGTTGCTTTTTGTTGTTCACTTGAAATCCGTGGACTACAGAGTGGATTGCTACTTTCTCTCTTCCTCAAATCTGCCGTCAATAGGAGTATCTCTAACTGCCTTTTTTGGTATAGGTTTAGTTCTTGAAGGTCAAGTCAATTTGTTGTATGATGTTCAATATCGATTTATTCACATTGAATCTCCACTTTTGTAACTTTAATGTTGCCAGTAGGCCATTCACCATATTCCACAATTCGCTCGTTGACCTATAGGGGGTTTCAAATTACCTTGTCGCCCTGTATTGACATTGCTCAGATGAATAGCCGACTTGAAGCCTGATCTGAGTGATGTTAGCCGTGTATATTGCAATGGAGACACTGCTGCTATTGCTTTTTCCCGATGCTGGCTGTGGTCTTCGTCTAGTTGAAATAATAATAAGAAATATTCGCTACTAGAGCATTGTAGCCCAGCAGCACGACACGTATAAAGCCGGAAAGACTCAACGCTTTTGTCTGGTCGAGCACCGAATGAGTTGGAAGAGTCAATCAAAAACAAATATGGTAGTAGTCAGCCAACTGTACGACTTCGAAGGTGCAGTTTATAATCTTACTTGATCAAGATAAATCAGATTGTCGTGTTGACAGGCCGCCGAGTGGTAAGCAAGTTCAAGTTATGGACCTTAAAACCAACAAGCATCAGCAAAAGCTGGTAAGGCCCATCATCGCAAAACGCTATCTAGCTAATTAAGGAGGTTGGTTTTGGAGGTTGGTTTTGGAGGTTGCCCGTTTGTATTCAACCTCCTTTCCATATGTTTTCCGCTCAGGGACGTTACCTAAATATCGGTGAAGAGCATTGAGTCGCAAGTAAGCCCGAATGAATGACGCGGATATGGGGATGCCTAGTTAAGACTAACAAGCGTCAGCAAATGCTGGTGAGATCCCATCGCAGAACTCTATCTGACTATCTATGGAGGCCGGTGCGGTTGCATTCAACCTCCTTTCCGTTTGTGTCTGCTGGGAGATCTCACCTGAAAACGCAGATCAAAGCGAATATTTTTGCGTATTTGCTCAATTACGAGCGACGCAGCGCACGATAGCAGTCTGAAATGAGTTGGCAGGTCTTGCATATCTGGGCTGGTAATATTCCTGTCGAACAAGCGTCAGCAAAGCTGGTGAGATCCCATCGCTGAACTCAATCTAACTATCTTTGGAGGTTGGCGTTTTGCATTCAATCTCATTTCCATTTGTATCCGCTGGGAGACCTCACCTCAAAATGCACATTGGAGCAAATATCATGTGCATGCTTGTTGCATGATGAGATAGGCAACGTGGGAACAACCTAGAGTGGACTCATGCTCATATTTGGGAGTCGCCCAGTCGATTGGAGAAAAGACGAACCAGCTCTATGCAGGAAGTTGAAGTGGGCTGGCAGGCTTTTTCGAGTTTGCTGATGATATCGAGGTACCTGGTGAAACACTAACAAGCGTCAGCAAATGCTGGTGAGATCCCATCGCAGAACCCTATCTAACTATCTATGGAGGTTGCCTTTGGTGTCTGTGCTCAACCTCCTTTCCCTTTTTGTCCGCTTAGGAACCTCACCTGAATATGCAGTGTGGAGTATACCGCGCTGGAGATTCACTTGTCCGCGCTAAAGTTGGCAGACATTGCTGGGCTGGGCGACAGCTGAGATCGAGACGCTCGGAAGGATCAAGTAGCTCTGGTAGCGATTTTCGTAACTTAACTGTGGATAAAGAGGTGCCTGGTAAAAAACCAACAAGCGTCAGCAAATGCTGGTGAGATCCCATCGCAGAATCTCATCTAACTATCTACGGAGGCTGGTGCGGGTGCGTTCAACCTCCTTTCCATTTGTGTCCGCTAGGAGACCTCACCTGGATGTAGAGTTTGCGGATGGAAGATTGGCCTTTATATTTGGTGTTGACCGCGATGGTGTGTCATAGGCTGTGGGCAAACTGGATACGGCAAAGGCGGCGAAAAATGCAGTAATCTATAAAGGCAGAGGAAGAAGAAGTTTCCCTGCGTCAGCCAATGGACTGGTGAGGTCTTCCACTCACTGCGAGCAAAGAACCGTGGGGTTGATATAACGCTGGAGTTCTCACCTGAAGCATGATTACCGTGAGGTCGTTCGTCCCATGAGCAGAAATAACACATCAATCAGAGTCGATATAATTAAATGATGAGTTATTTCGGAGGCATACATGATGCCAAGATTCTATGAAGTCATTGAACCACACAAGCCGATGACACGAAATCACGGAGTGGTAGAGATGGATAAAAAAGGGAAAGAGGGAAGAGAAATAAACAACGCGAGACGCGAAACCCCTCGGGTATGACAAGCCATACAAGTGGAAGGAACATGTGGAAGGAACAAATAAGAAGGAACAAATAATAATGAGGAACTCACCAGTCAACATGGTCCAGGTGGCGAGACATCTGGGGGTCAGCAAGATGTGGCAGAGACGCAGAAGAAAAGAGAGTGATGGTGAAAAGATGGTTATGAAGTTGAGTGATGAACAAACGTCCAAACCCCAGGGGGGGAGTAGAACATGGATGGAAGATGGAAGAGAAGATAGAAGAAAGATGGATGTAGGAGAAAAGAAAAAAATGGGAGAGATGGGGGGGAGGGGAGGGTATTTATACCCAGAAACTGGGGACTGAAGCTGGGGTCCTTCTGTTTTAGGGAAAGTAGGATTCTCAAATAGGGAAAGCACCACCCTGTTAACATGCCCCAGGTGACCTGTTTGGGAAGATGTGACGACGAATTCCAAGACTTAGTCTAAAGGATCAAGTATCTCCCAATGGGAGAACTGATTCTATCTTGTCCTGTGGGCAAGCGAGACACGACGAAGCCGAAATCCCAGATCATATAGACGCATTAACCTAGTGGTGGCTGGCACACGTCCGATGCCGAAGATATCGACGGAATACGTTAACCCATACACGCAGTACTTATTACATAGTGACGCAGGTTTTCACGGGACCATTATAGACAATATTTCCGAACGAGATATGTACTGGAAAAGACATCGAGGTATTTTGTTAGCAAGATGTCTCTACTGTCTCTACCCAATGCCATCCCTACCAACCTACGTCGTTGAAGGCTAAGGCCAGATAAGCAGCTGACCACTTTTATATAGATATGTAGAGTGAATATCGCCTTGATTGCATCTAAGGATGATATCCAACAGCGTTTAGAAAGGGGTTAATACAACGATTTGTAAATGCCGGAGGTGACTGAGTGGCCTTCATGATAAGATGACTTCTAGTATCTAAGTAGAAAAGGCATGGCATAGCAGGGTATCAAATAGCTTCAAATGTCGATTTCATAGTATAAAGTACATGTAGGAGACAAGGGAGAGCCCATGTCCTGGCATCCGCAGCAATGACACTCATGAAGCCTCCTTCTTGCGACTCTCGACAACACGCATAACATCTATGACGCTATCTTTGTCGCCCTTCTTCTTCTTGGGGCCACGCTTTCTCTTTTTCCCGCCTCGCTCGTCGTCGTCAAAGTCGAGCAGGGGACCATCGTCCTCCTCCGCTCCGTCTTCGTTGCGGCTTCCTCCGAATCCCATATCCATATCTGCAGCATCCATAGCGTCTCGGCGGTGTGCCTCTTCAATGAAACGCTTGTGACGAAGCGCTGTATCAGACTCGTCTGCTTCGCCCTCTGCCGAGGGAGAGCTCTGCCGAAGGGCTGCAGCTCGTCTGAGGGCTGCAAGAATGGTTGGATCTTTGGTGAGGGGGTTGGAACGGTCGATAGGCTCCTCTTCTGCTGTAGTCGAAGTCCCAGTCGCAAAGTAATTCTTGGGCTTTGCAAGTGCTGTTTTAGACGCGGCAGGTTCCTTCTCCTCTTCACCCACAGAACCCTTTTCGGGTTTGCGAGTAGCCGAATCTGCCACTTCATCGTCTTCATCAGACGATGAATCGTCTTCGAGTCCAGCGAGAGGATTGTAATCATCACCGACACCGGCAAAAATGTCGTCGTCCTCATCCTCGGGGGTGACTTGTGCAGAGGTACGGGCGGCAATATCAGCTGGAATTTCCATGCCGAGAGGTTTGAGACTTTTATCGGGCATCATGAGCTCCCCCTCAGTAGGTACAGGCACTTCGGTCGGCTTATCAAGCCACCTAGTCTTCCTCTTGGTGTTTCCTTGCGCATCGGTGATGAGAAGCACTTCGCGTCGACGGCCGGTCTCATCATGCTCCACAAAGCGCTTCTTCTCGGGCTTTCTATCGCCCAGTTTCTTGAATTTCGAGCCGAGTATGGACTCCGGTGGCGGGGGAGGCGTGGCAGCAGCAGCACGGCTTGCCTTCATTTCCCGTAGGATTTCATCGCGGGTCTTGGGCCTAGCTGGTGGCGGTGCCATAATTCCCTTCTTCTTTTCTTTCTGTTGCTTGGGTGCAGCAGCAAGCTCCTCAGCTCCCTGCTCTTCCATCAAACGATCGAGTTCCTCATCTACGTCTTCTTTTTCGGGAGGCGGCGCAGGTTTCTCGGCCGCTTGTGACACGTCCTCGCCAGCTCTGATCCTTTTCAATAAATCCATATCCAGTCCTTTGACCATGTGTGTGCTTTCAATGTCACCTCCGACTCCAAGGTCTCGACGTAGTTTGTCGAAGGTAGCCTGGTCGATTTGTCCCAACTTAACCATATCCTCTAGTGCCTTGATGCGCGCCTCCAGACCCGTGTTGCTCTGACCTTCGTCCTCTGCATTGCGCAATTTCGCACGATCCTGATATCCGGTCGGTAGCGAGGTACCCTTCGGCGCGGCGGAGGACTTGAACCGTTTAGAAGGTCGGTCGCCCTCGCGGCGTTGGTCGAAGAGCTGACGGGCAAAGTCCACACCAGTGACTGAACGCCTGTAGTATTTCCAGCTGTTAGCTTCCTCCGCAATCATAGCAATCTGTAAAGTAAACGACATACGGGGTCATGGGAATGCTGGACCGCATTCGCGACCCCAGTGACCCGCCCGGGGTTGCGCCGCCACGCGATGCATCACGACCAGGCGTTGGGCTCTGGGGTTTAGGTTTTGATGATGACTGGTCGGCTAGTAGCCGGCGAAACTGCTCGTTATTCATGATTCTCGAGCTCAAGTTGCAATGAAGTTGAGAAAGGCTCATGTTAAGAGGTGGAGATCCGGCTTGGCACTGATAAGACTATCGGCCAACCTTTCAAGCTTTCCGAGGTTCTCGGGGCATTTTCATTAGTTATGCAGGTAATTTAGGTAAGTATTTTTACTTCATAGTATTTCCCTGCTAAGTGACACTGCCAACTATGTGTGAATATGGGCGGGCGTTTGGCCTCGTTTGGCGCACTGTCAGTCTTGGAAGCATTGTCACAACTAGTCCCTTCAAAGAAACGTGCTGAGCAATATGGCGCTGCTAAATGTCACTAGTCGGAGTCCTCTAGGAGCAGCGATGGCATTCGCTCAGTTAGTCAATCCTGATTTAGACATTTAGAATCCTATACGACAAGTGAGCTAGATTGATGATGACAGGCATCCAGGATATAGTTAGAAAGCCTGTTGTGCATCAATATATTCTCACAGCCAATTATGCACACATATTTATGCAGAAGAAAGACAAAATAGACATATATATATCTAAGAAACGTCATCTCCCTCAACTAGAAGCTATGCGTAGGAGTCATTTACGGGGGGGAGGGGGAAGCGAGAAAGGAAATGCGAGTGTCGAGGACTCATTAGAAGGGGTATAACAGGGAATATATGCAGCAAAACAACGACCTTTTTACCTGTGTCGATGGAACCGGTATTACTATATTCAAATCCAACCGAAATTTGAGTTGAACATAGCCTGGTATTTTTTAAATCATAACTACCAAGGGAACCTATTGATGAGAAGAATTTCAGATATACAGTGAAAAAGAAAAGAAAAGAAAAGAAATCGGTTAAACACACAATCACCGTCGTTTCAAATTCGCCATCGAACATCAAAAGTAAGCAGGTAAGGAATCTAAACGCACGCATATCAGCAATCGCAGAAAAAACCCCATTTTTATGCTCATTAAATAGTCTCCCAGCCTCCGGTGTTAATCTCGGACTCTAGCTTGCGGCTGATAGTCGCAGGAATCGAGTGTGACAGCCATACATCGCGTAGTAGCCGGTCGTATCGCTTCTGGTTGAGGATAAGCTGGCGGTTATGGCGGAGACCGGGGTCAACCTCGCCGTGGCGGTCGAGGTAGGGCGCGTAATGCCAGGATCCGTTCGTGTTGTGCAAGTAGAGAACCGTGCATTTGCGAATATTGATAAAAAGACCAACGTTTTTGCCGCATCTATTGTGGAAGACTGGTTAGCTGGAAAGTACTCACAAACAAAGTGGGACGGGTATGATTACTTTTGAAGATGTTGGTTGCAGCCGCCAAGCTTGTTCACCATGCAGCAGACTGCCTGTGAGCAAAATATTTCTCCGCAGAATAAACAGATACTAGGATCAGTGAGCTCCTTCTTAGAATTGGGGCACCGACGACGATTTGCCTCTTCGATCAGGCTATCGAAGTACTTAGGAAGGCCAACAAGCTCGAAGATAGCAGGGTGCGACAGACTGGGCCAGAGACGGTGGTCTTCGAAGCGAATGCCTGAGCGCGAAGCGTTCCAGTGGAAGATCCATCCTGAGATGACTGCATCGAAGGGGCTGTTTGTATTGCGTGCGGGCTTGACAGACATGAGAATCTCATCAAGGGAAGGCAGTTGGAGTGCTTTGGCCAGGCGCTCAAGCTCAGAGGACTCCACGTCGGCGAAACCTGTGTTGGGAAACTCGACACCATGCTGAACATGAAGAAGAATAACTGCCTTGCGCAGGAATGATAGTCCGTAGCTCGTCACAAGTCGCCGGACGGCCGTAATGATGCCTGGGGTGGCAGTTTCCTCTCCATCTTTGACGTAGCCACTCTCAGCGGGGAAGGATGAGCCTTCAGCACGGCCGACAGAGTTCGCCTTCAGTTCAGTAACGACCGAGTCGAAGAACTGCTTGGTCACTCTGAATTGTTCTTCCGATATACCAGCAGCCATAGTATTGTCCTCGGGGTGGGTGGCGAGTTCCTCCTTTAATCCCAGTGGCCAAAGAATGAAAGTGACGGCGACCTTCACAA